AGTATCGTGGTCATTGCGCAATGGCCGGTGTGAATGGTGGTGATGATGATGATGAGATTGTGATTGGTGAAAATGAATTGTTGGAGGTTGGCACCACTTGTGCCCGGTCATTGTACTAAGGTACAAGCCATAGCGGTTACTGTGCTGAAGGCACAAACCCACCTTAGACTTGCTTGCCGTTGAGCATGGGTCAGGTTATAAGTGTTGCAGTGTCATGTTAGAGCTATATGCGCTAACCCCTTGATATTGGCACTAGAGGTGCGGATCATGTGAGTGGCATTGCGGCACCATCTTGATATGTTGGTGGTTGATAAGTGGTTTTTCGGTGGGGGCATGTAGTTGCCCGGAGGAATAAGGGGTGGTGATATAAGGGTAGCCTGGAGGTATAGGTTGGAACTGATATAAGGACGGAGGGGAGCTATAAGATTGGAACTTGGTATAAGGTTGGAAGATGAATTGTGTGCTTTGATGACTACTTGCTAATTGATTGTCTTGAATACCTTCGTTGCCTCTAATTGTTATTTGTATGCTTATTTGCCTGTTATGTCTTGTATTACGTTCTTAGGATGCATGTTAGTCTTTGTGATTATTCTATACTGTTGGGTCTGTTAATGTGCCTTAAGTCTTTATCTTGGATTTAAATTAGAGTCTCGTAAGTATATATATATATATATATATATATATATATATATATATATATATTCCAGTTTCAAAATGAGTTTCTTATATCTACCTATATTGTACTTAACGCGTTGGAGTGGGTTACCAGCATTATTCGCTGACGGTTGTTATACCGAATATTTTTCAGGTGATGAGCATTAGCTTCGGAGAGCGCTAGTCAGAACCTTGGACTTAGCTTAAATAGCCTTAACATAGTAGTTGGCCTGCGTGCCTTGGATTGTATTTGAATATTGATTTGCGGATTAATTATGCTTGGTTAGTTTAGCCTGTGCATCTAGGTTCTCAAACCTAGGTGTGGCATAGCACCCCGACACTTATGGATAGCTTTATGCTCTGTTTGGGATTTAACTGTTAGATTCACCTTTATTTTATAAGTTTTAAATATCTCAAAATTTAGAGGTGTTACAATTAATATTAGCTATTCCTATGCCCTTGGGGAATAGCTTTTATATCGCAAATACCAAAAATACCCTTTGCACATTATTTAATATTTATATTTAATAAATATAATGTATTATATAAATATATATATTTAATTAATTATAATTTTTATCTATCAATCTATCAATAAATATATATTTAAATAAATTATTAATTTTATATATATATATATATATATATATATATGTGTGTGTGTGTGTGTGTGTGTGTGTGTGTGTGTGTGTGTGTGTGTGTGTGTGTGTGTCAAGGGTGTTTTGTAGAAAGACTTTTCATTTCCTATATATATATATAGAGGGTCGCACTCAAGTGTAGCGACCCCTTCCCGTGTGGTCATGTGACGATTTTCAGAATACACCAATAGTTAAGTAAGATATACACCATCAACATCAGGAAATGCACCACAAAAAACGCACACAAAGTAGGTACGTATCGCCAACAACACACCATTAGGTGTGAGTAAAAACACCATACAGTGTTCGGAAATACACCATTGGGGTTGGTGAGTTATATGATGTATTTTTTACGTCTGTTGTGTATTTTTTGGTGTTTATTTTACATTTTATTGTGGTGTGTTTCCCTTACACTGTTAGTACATGTTGTTAACACTGTTGGTGTATTCTGAAATTCCGCCACACGAGCACACCTAACAACATGACCACATATAAGCATTATTCTATATATATATATATATATATATATATATATATATAACATTATTATATTCATTATTATTATTATTATTATTATTATTATTATTATTATTATGTTGTATAAGGTATTTATGTCTTTAAAACCTATTCCATTTCTATTCCTTTAACCAACCAAACACTGAAATACAATTACTAAAGTCTATTACTTCAGCGAACCAAACAATAGAATACAATTTCTATTCTATTCTTTATCTATTTCATTCCTTGTGGAATAGCATTCCTATTCCTTCTAAATTCATTCCCTGAACCAAACGTGTTGTAAGAGAAAAAAGACTAATAATTGGTATAACTGTATAAGTTAAAGCTTTGACTAACCTAATTAAAATTTAAAACTATTAGGACTATATTATTCATATTAGACTAGGACTATATTATTCGTGTTAGACTAGGACTCTATCTAGTATTTATATATTCGCTCTCTGTACTTTCAGAGATTATATTGAATACAACACTTTTACATACATTCTCATCTGGTATCAGCTTCCAGGTTTTCTCTAATGGAAGATCCTGGTCTCCCTAATGATGGCTCTGTTCGATCTTCTGAACGGACCGTTACCGAGACTTCCCCTATGCCCAACGGGAATAGCCTCTCATTGGCTCATCACTTTGTTTCCTTGAAATTGACCTCCCGTAATTATCTTTTTTGGCGGACGCAGATGCTACCGTTTCTAGAAGGTGAAGGTCTTATAGGCTTCATCGATGGTAGTATACCGTACCCGGTCACAGCACCGGTCGCTGCCGCCGACGCCGTTGCCTCGACTGCTGACAGCCTAGCGGCGGCGGGCGACCTCGTGGCTCGGCAGGTGGCTTGGAGGAGGCAAGGCAAGACTATCTTATCCCTTTTAATTTCGTCTCTTTCGGAGGAGACGGTGCGGTTCGCCGTTGGTCATTCTACTTCATGGCAACTCTAGCTCACCATCGAACAATCTCTTGCCTCTTCCTCGCGTTATCGGGCGTTGCTGTTATTAGGTGAGTTGCAAGCCCTTCGGCAAGGTGATTCCTCCATCGCATATTATATTGGTCGTGCACAGCTGTTGATTGATGATTTAGCTCTTGCCGGTCGCGATGTTACGTTAGACGATCAAAACTTATACGTCTTTCATGGCTTGCGGTCTGAGTTTCGTCCACTTGTGGCAACCCTGGCTCGGGGTGCTGCGGTCCCGCTTGCAGAGGTGGCGGATTTCTTGGTGTCGCAGGAGTGGATTTGTGTTGATGATGGAGTCGGCGGTGTACTACCGGTTGCGATGGCCGCTGGCAGAGGCGGTGTGGCCCCTAGTCATGATGGTCGTAGCAACGTGACACAGCAGCAAGGCCGAGGTCGAGGCTCGGGCGGCAGCAGACGTGGTCACGGTCGCGGGCGTGGCTCGGGCACGGGTCCTCGGTGCCAAATCTGCAACAAACAAGGACACGGGGCTCTCTCGTGTTGGCACCGTTTCTCAACCCCCCCCCCCCCCCGCCCCCCATCCCCCAGCTCCTCAGGCGAATGTGGCTATCTTTGGTGAGAATAGTGACCACAGCGGTCCACATGAGTGGTTCCCGGACACTGGTGCTACGAATCATGCTACCCCTGATTCATCCTTGATGACTTCCGCGACAAGTTATGATGGCTCGGAAACTCGGCGAGTCGGCAGTGGTACAGGTTTGCCTATTACTAATGTTGGTTCCGCTTCGTTAGCCACTGATTCTAGGTCGTTTAAGTTGCATGATGTTTTGCATGTCCTGGTCTCTCTTCTTCTTTATTATCTGTTCAGCGTTTTGCGAAAGACAATAATGTTTTATTTGAGATTCACCGTCTTTGTTTCTATGTGAAGGACATTTTGACCAAGAAGGTTCTTTTTAAGGGACATGCGTCTGGAGGTCTCTATGCATTGTCTGTGTCTTCTGCCTCCCCTGCTACGTTTGTTGCTGCGTGATCCTCTTACGTTTGGCACATGCGGTTGGGGCATACTCATTCTCGAGTCTTGCATCAGATTCTAGCGTCTTTGTTTGTTAGTACATTTAATTCTAGTGATCTTCCCAATGTATGTTCCTCTTGTCAATTGGGAAAATCTTCTCGTTTTCTTTTATCTCGTGTTGAAACTACTAGTACGCATCCTTTGGAATTAATATATTCAGATATTTGGGGTCCTGCGCCATTACTCTCTGCGACTGACTTTAAATATTTTGTGTTGTTTGTGGATGATTACACTCATTATATGTGGTATTATCCAATGCGTGCAAAGTCTGATTTGTATGCTATATTTGATAAGTTTCGGTCACTTGTTGAGCGTTCTTTTTCTCGCAAGATTATTTCTTTTCAGTCTGATTTAGGGCGAGAATATAAAAAGCTTGGTTCCACTCTTGCTTCGCTGGGTATTCATCATAGGCAATCCTGTGCATATACTCACGAGTAGAATGGTCGAGTAGAACGCAGGCATCGTCATGTTGTTGAGACAGGGCTGTCTTTAATGGCTCAAGTATCTGTCCCGTCTCATTTTTGGGACTATGCTTTTGAAACTGCTGTGTATCTAATTAATAAAATTCCTACTCATGTTCTGTCTGATGAGTCTCCTCATTTTCGTTTGCATCGATCTCCCCCGTCCTACTCTTACTTGCGAGTATTTGGTTGTTTGTGATTTCCTATCCTTCGTCCATATAATCGCAATAAACTCCAATTTCATTCGTCTCAATGTGTTTTTCTAGGTTATCCTCCGTCTTATCGTGGCTACCGCTATTTGGATACTAACACTAACAAGGTTTTTATCTATCGCTACGTGTGAATTGATGAGACTGTGTTTCCCTTTGTTTTTCCTGTTGCCTCGCAGGTTGCTAGACCATGTTCCGAACCTTGGGCTGCTGCACCGGTTGTGACGTGCCGAGGTAGTGGTGTCTCAACCACGGCTATTGATGGCGCTCGGCAGTCGGATGAGCCCGTGTCGGCTTCTGGCGATGGTGACGATAATGGTCCCGAGCAGTCCGCATGAGCGGACTGTCTCGGACCAACAGGTTGAGCAGTGCGGCAGGCCGCGCGGACGTCCTCGGCGAGCCACTCCTCCTCCTCGGTCGCATGCTATAAACACTCGTAGCTCGGGTCCGCATCAACATGTCGCCTTAACCACTATTTCTACCATAGCACCTGAGCCTACCTGTTACTCTCAGGCGGTCAAGTTTCCTGAGTGGCGTGATGCGATGGACGCAGAGTTCAATGCCTTGGCGTCTTACGTGGCGTCTTATTCCGTTTCAACCAGGTATGAATGTTGTTGGCTGCAAGTGGGTTTTCAGAACCAAGCGGAAGGCCGATAGTTCAATAGAACGTCACAAAGCTAGGTTGGTGGCCAAGGGTTTTAATCAGGTTGCTGGAGAGGACTTTTTTGAGACCTTTAGTCCTGTGGTTAAGCCCACTACGGTACGCCTTCTCTTATCTTTAGCTGTATCTCGTGGGTGGACTATTCGCCAGTTGGATATTCACAACGCTTTTTTAAATGGCGAGCTAGCTGAAACTGTTTACATGCGACAGCCACCTGGTTATGAGGACAAGTCATTAACTGATCATGTGTGTTTGCTTAAAAAATCTCTATAAGGGCTCAAACAGGCTCCGCGTGCTTGGTTCACAAGATTACATGATTTTCTTTTCTCTGTGGGCTTCTCGCCTTCAAACACGGATGTGTCTCTCTTTATCTATTCTCGTGACAATATTCGTCTTTATTTCTTGGTGTATGTTGATGACATTTTTATTATGGGTTCTGACTCAGATCGTGTTACTGCTCTTATTGATAAATTAGCCATTGAGTTTAAGGTTCGTGAAATGGGTATGCCTTCTTTCTTTTTGGGTATTGAAACTGTCCCGTTATCTGGCAGTATGCTTTTATCACAACAACGGTACATGAAGGATATTCTCAAACGTGCAAGCATGGTGGACTGCAAGCCAGTAGTCACGCCCGTCTCTTCTACAAAAATCACCGACAAAGTTGTCGTTCCCTATGCTGATCCTACACAATACAGGAGTCTTGCAGGTGCTCTCCAGTATCTTACGGTAACTCGTCCTGATTTATCTTATGTTGTTAATCTCTTGTGTCAACACATGCATGCTCCTACTACTACGGACTGGGCCTCTCTAAAAAGAGTCCTGCGGTATGTCAAGGGCACCATGATGCGTATTTCTCGGTCTACATCTATGGATACTCACGCCTATGCTGACTCAAATTGGGCTGGCGATCCGAATGATCGCAAGTCTACCAATGGCTTTGCTGTGCTCTTGGGCAGTATTCTTATATCTTGGGTTTGTCGGAAGCAACGGACTGTGGCACGTTCCTCAACTGAAGTAGAATACAAGGGACTAGCTGATGTATCTGCAGAGGTTACATGGCTTGTTTCCCTGTTACACGAAATCGGCATACCTCCTGCGTCTCCTTCTCGACTATGGTGTGATAATTTGGGAGCTACTTATGTGCCAATCCAGTGTTTCATGCCCGCACGAAACACATTAAGATTGACTATCATTTTATTCGCTTTAAAGTAGCTAAAAAGGAGTTAGAGGTGCACTTTATTTCAACCAAAGATCAATTAGCAGATATCTTTACAAAGTCTCTTTCGTCTCTACATTTTAATTCTCTCCGTGACAAGCCCAATGTTTTACCTACTCAACCTTGTGCTTGAGGGGGAGTATTAGAACTATATTATTAATATTAGACTAGGACTATATTATTCGTGTTAGACTAGGACTCTATCTAGTGTCTATATACTTGCTCTCTGTACTCTCAGACATTATGATTGAATACAACACTGTTACATACATTCTCATCAAAACTATAAAAATTACCAAAATTTCTTAAGAAACATTATATTAAAGAAAACAATACTCATAAAAATTAAAACTTTATAATACAAAAAATTCATGCCTTAAACACATTCCTGTTTCAAGTTGGCCAGATGGTCACATAATAATTAAGTATAAAGTTAATTAGATTTGATACTGTCAAATTTGATTACTCTATTGCTAATATCAATATTGGAAACCACGGTCTAAAGTGATCAATCATACTACACTAATTCTTCTAAGCCTCCATCAAAGCTTTGAATACAAAGAACATCCCTAACTAATTAGAAACTTCCACTTCTCCGTAAAAATAAAATTAAAATTAAAATTAAAAAAAAAAAAAAAAATGAAACTCTTATAGGGAAAAATGTACATTTCAAAACCTTAAAATATTGGGCATAAATTTAAGCTAATACTATAAACCCTTTACCATTCTCTCTCAAATACAAACACTCCAAAGAAGTAACAAAACCTTCCAGACTGGCATTTCAACATAAAGAATAAATGGAATAACCTTTAGAAAAATATGAATCTGTGAACTCCCACTGCCTTATCTACACATCCCCAACTCTACTTATTCTGCATTGGGTACATCTCTTTGAGAGCAACAACAAAAGTTAAAAAGTTTTTTGGGTTTCATCATCCGTCACAATTCAATCCGCAGATTTCCAGAACAGGGCCATCTCTCGACACGAATGGATTCACTCTTACCCACAGCAGCGTCAATATTGAAGCCAGCAGTATTGACCATACGATAACAATGGTTGGAGTCCTGTCTTGCTTTCCCATCAAACCTTTGAGGAACGGATAGAGATGGACGATGACCCAGAAGGCGAAGAATAGTCTGCCAAACAATGGACCCCAGGAATCATAGCCGTTGTTGATGGCATTCGAGATACCTACCACAACCCCAATTACGTTTATTACAAGTAACGTGGTTGGGGGTATTAGCAGTGATGTCCACTTAAAGAGGTAGAGCTCAGAATACTCCCCATCGTCGCCTCCTTTTGATGTGACGGTGAAATTTGTGTCAACGCCAGCCAAAACCTTGAGTAGACCTTGGAAGAGAGCAAAAAGGTGCGAGGAAACGCCTCCAATAACCCAGAACTGCTCGTTTCTCCACCAATCATCTATTCCAACGCCTCCCCATTGCATTTCAAGGATACCAGTGGCAGCAATGGAGATGAACATAGCCATGAAAACAATGCTGGCGTAGTTACTTATCTGTAAATGAAGAAACAATACATAGCCATGAATAATAAGACGCTGGCAAAGCATATTGCTAACCAATGCTTCGGTCTTTGAGGGTTTTTATACTGAAGAATTTTAAAACACGACACAATCAAGCAACTGGAATATAATTACCTCAGGAACGATAAATTTCCCGGTCAGGAGGCAGATAGCAGGTAAGGAGCAGTACACAAGCAAGGGAATGGAGGTGAAAGGATATATAACCGAGTTAATGTAGGAAAGCCTTTCCAATCCCTTCAAGCCACCCCCATAGCCGTACCAAATGGGGCAATGCTTGCTCATAAAAATCTCAACGGATCCCAGAGCCCACCTGAGAACCTGGTGGAGACGGTCCGAGAGATTGATGGGAGCAGAACCCTTGAATGCGGGTCTCTTAGGAATGCAGTACACAGACCGCCAACCATGACAATGCATCTTGAACCCTGTCAATATATCTTCTGTAACAGATCCATATATCCAGCCAACCTGTTTGAGAATTCGAACATTCATGAGCAACAGACAAATACAAAAAATAAGGGTTAACTAAAAGGAATCGTATTCCTCATATCCTTACCTCCTTTCCCCATTCACTTTTATCCTCGTACCCGCAGCTAATTACATGGATGGCTTCTTTTAATAGAGATGCGGTCCCAGCATCCTTTGGAACACCTCCCGTTTCTACAAGTGTCGAGGCTATAAAAACAGGAGATTGCCCAAACTTCTTCTCCAGCTTTGTTTGTATAGCCCGAGAGGGATCAGCATTCATCTCTGCACGTGACAATCCAATTTAGTCTTGGTCAAGTTACATCACTGTTTCATGTAACCATTTGCAATAAATAATATTACTACATTTCGATCTGTAAAATAGCACCTTCAATTCCTTCTTCAATGGTTTCAAGTGCATAGACTTGCTTCGATGTATCCCTGTGTTTTGGCTTCTTTTTCCTCTCTTTCTTGGTTTTTCCTTTACTGTTCTTTCGGGGTCCACAACAGCAGCAGCAGAACAATTTTGGCCAACAATTGCAAGTCTTATTGGCTTTCTTTTTCTTTGCCGGGGCATCATATCCATAAAGGGCTTGCCGGCTGAATACACACCCAGTTCCAACATATATGGGTCCTTGTAAACCGTCTAAACCTTTCATGTTAATCTGTATGGAGTACAATATTCAGCTTTGACCAAGTTGGTGACAAAATATAATATTTTAATTGAAGAAACGAAGGAGAAACACATACATCAAAGAATACAACATTTCTGTTTGAGTATCTGTCATGACGATCAATCCCATCAAACCTTTGCGGAAACTGCACATAGCAGATTTTCTTTCCTGAAGTGGGATCCATAAAGAAACACATAGCTTCCCTCAATGCCTTGCTATTGTTGATATAGTGATCGCAATCAACGTTCAGAAGGTAAGGAGCATTTGAGATGACCGCGGAAACTCGCACCTAATTTCGGACCAAATTTTATGTCAATCACACAAAATTTCTAGTCTTGTATTCTCTAGATGCTAGTATGTTAAGTACATCTCATAATTTAGAAGTGGGCTTTACCAAAGCATTCATGGCTCCTGCTTTTTTATGGTGATTGAACCCGGGTCTCTTTTCACGAGAAACATAAACCAATCGAGGTAACTCATTTCCTGCAATATCTCGAACACCATCTTCGCCAAGAAATACCTATATAAAAACGAAACCAGAGAATGAGATGGGAACCAATGAAAACAGAGGAGACCTTTCAGTTGCCTGGAACCTTCAAATTAAAACCAGACACGTGAATGTACATGTGTTTATGTATATTTATATTTATATTTATATTTATTTACATTGAATAAACAACTTGCTTACCTGGATCATACCGGGATGGTCTCTGACATCGTTTCCAGGCCAAGGAGTGCCATCCTGCATCGTCCAACCATCTTCAGGAACTTTTTGTGCCATTGCAACCAAACCATTTATCCGAACTTTAAATTCTTCATATTCTCTCTGTATACAGGATGAATATAATTAGTAACATCATAGAGACCAACGCTAATGAACCCCAACCAATTATGGATATCAGAATCCCATAATCTACTACAGAAGAATTTTCAGCAGGAAAACTTTTGAGTGAAGAGTTGAGAAAAACCTTCATTGCGCGTCGCTCCTTGACAAAGGCGGGATTAACTTTATTTTTCAGATAGTCCATTTTCTGGGAAAAATACCATTCTGGAGCTCGTGGTTCAATATTATATTTTTTGCAGAAGGGGACCCATTTCCTAGCAAATTCAGATGTCTCAGAAAGGGCTTCAAATGTAAGCATGGCAGCACCATCATCTGACACATAGCACGACACTTTGTCAACCGGATAGTCCACTGCCAGAATGGATAGGACAGTATTTGCAGTGATTAACGGAGGCTCTTTCATGGGATCAACTGTGCTGACAAAAATGTCGACAGGGGCCAGTTCAGATGGCCTTCCTTCTTTCTCATACCTGAGAAGTAATAACACAAAAAATGACGGGAAAATCACATTGTCTTCTTAATCTTAAAAGTTGGTATCACTAGAGAAATTCAAATTTCAATGCAATAAATGTACATAAAAGGTACTAAGTACTTTCAGACATGTAGCAACGTCTACCTAAGTGATAGTCGATCAAGGTATGTTTCTCGCACAATAGGGTACCATTTTGGGAATTGATCGAGAACCCATGATACTGCAAACCATATCTCGCAAATAACTGATGTCAACCATAGGCCATATGCATCAGAAACTGGATGAAGAACCCTATAATGGAAAAAGAAGCCTAGAATAATGAGGCGCATAATAATTAGAATCCTGTATGGGCTTATTTTGCTTGAAGCAATGGGTAACTTTCTGGACAGTGGCTGCCTTCCTTCATCCATCCTGTGAATGCATTTTAAAATGTGGGTTAACAAATTAATCCCATTTGAATCCAAATCCAATCAAAGAAAATAAGAGAGAACAACTGTGAGAATACAGTAAAATATAACACAACATTTTAGTATATATAAGGCAAATGAGCTCTCTTTGTGGGGGAGAATTTCGGGATAACCCGGGTTTGATTCCCAGAAGTGACGATTCCTTTTGGGCCAGCTTCTGTGCCTCTCGGAGCAAACCGGGTGGACCTGGACCGTTAAACGGACAAAGAAAGACCCGGACCACATTGTGGTTTACACCAAAAAAAATAAAAATAAGGCAGTTACTTACATAGGTAAGTCAGTATCATCAAGTGCATTTCCATCATAACCACCACCATCGCCATTCCCATGATGTTTGATGGCCAGAAGCTTGTCACCCTGCTTTTTCTTCCACTCTTCCATGCGGTCCTTCCATGCCACACTTCCATAGCCGTACAATGCAGCATCCTTCTCTGGGACCATTGGCCTACATTGCACTGAAGGGACAAAGATTTACCAGTTTGCTTTCAAAGTAACAATGTAGAAAATGCTACTGATATAAATCTTGAAGACCAGATTAACATACAAGAAGCAGATGGATCACCATTAGTAGAAGGTACTATAAGAGCATGCTGATCAGAAGAGGTTTCAGAATCCTAGTGCCAAAGAGTCAGCAAGTTAGGTTCGTGCTCAAAAAGATATTGTCATGATTCTAAGGAAGTGAGAAAGGATGAATATACAGCAATCAATTACCACTTCGCCATACGTCAAGAGAGGTACTTCTAGTGAAGGGGTGAATGTGGAACTTTGAGATGAACTGGGATGACCAGCATAATCATTAGAAGAATGAATCACCCCAGCAGGTAGGGTTGGGCCAAAAGCTTCACTAATACCATAATCAAACTCGTGCTCTAGGTCATCAATGCCGTCCTCTTCATCATCACCCACAACACGAGGACTACCTGCAGTCACCCAATACATTGAGATATAAGTCATTCATTGAGAAGGACTCCAGTGAGGATTCACATAATGGAGAAAATATTTTACCTTTAATGCGCTTATATCTAGTTTTACACTGGGGGCAGGCCTGACTTCCCTCTCTTCTTTCATACTCATAGCAAGGTCTGCAAACAGGGAAGGCACATTCATTGCATGCGACAAAGAGCTCTCCATCTACAGTAATTTCAATTTCATCCCCGCAAATCTGGCATATTTGGCCACTTAATTCTCGCACCGACTTTATCTAGAGAAAAGAATTTCATAAAAACCAAGAAGTATTTTAGAATCAGCGTATGAGAACCAACAAGAGTTAACCATCACCTTAACGATTTATGGCATGAACTTTTTTTCAATCAATTATCACTCCAATTTCCAAATACTACTACACCTCCAAAGTCTTATCAAAAAAGAATTCAGCTCAACTTTTTGCAAACATTTGGTCCTATTTTCAGAAAACGAACAATTGCAGTCTTACTTTTATCTAAACAAAATAATATCATACCCCCTTTTAGAATCTGTGCATAAACCCACCAATTTTCTGCTGATACAAGACAATAGGGAAGGGAGGTCAAGTATTTTGTCCCCGTCTACTATCGCTGAAGCATAAGCTTACAAGGATTGAAAGAAAGGATAATAATAAAAGTAAAACAAAACCAAATGTTTTAAAACCTAAACTCACATTCATAGATCACTAAAATCCAGTGTTCAATAACATCAATACACATACTTCACAGAAACTGAAGTTTCCAGTAAAAAGAACAGTAATAATCAAACTAGAGCTAGGAGGTTATAGATCAGAGATCCACTCCCAAACAAAAACAGAAACAAATAAAGGATTATTATACCACAAGCAAAGATAAACAACTCAATATATCTGCTATCAAAGAAACCAAGGAAAAAAATAAAAACAGCTTTAGAATTTAAAGGCAGTGTCTCCAAAGAGGAAGAAATAGAAATAGCATTACACCGGGGTAAATAGGTTTCAATAAGAATCAATAAACATATAAATAAAAAAAATACACTTCCAAATAGCAATATTAGAATTTACATTTACAATAAAACAAAAATAGCAGCTTTAGAAAAATCTTACTCTTCCAATTTCATCGGCATTAATGAGCACAAACTCATTCCTATTGTGAGAACCAGCAATAAGTCTCCCTGCTGTATTCATCTCTCCCACACCAAAGCTGGGAAACCAGTATATCCGACCGAAATCAGGCCTCAAAGGGGATTCAGCCGCCTTTCCGCGCCAAGAATCAATAAAACCCTCTAAAATGAGACGCCTTTAGCACTAAAAACTGAATCTTGGGGTTAAGCACACAGCGTAACCTCCCAACCCCCAACAACATTCGCAAAAAAAAACACACCAAGAAAAGAAATGAAGGAAAACCCAATACAACAAAATACCTAAATATGAAGAAGAAGAAGAAGAAGAAGAAAGAAATTAATTGCCCCCAGACAGGCGCAGAGCGATAATAGTAAAATTGAAGGAATTCCCAAAAGCAGAGAGTGGTGAGGTGAGAGATGCATAAACAGTTTATACATTCATTCTTACAAGCTAAGAATGCACTGTAATCCAGCTGGAATAGGAGCCCGACCAGCCAGGGTTCTAAAAATGGAGAGAGTGGGAAATCAATGTGAAATTGATAAAAATGAAAATGAAAATATGGACGCGTACGAGAGAAGCACAAAGCAAGAAAAGGGATGAGGTGCCCCTGCCCCCTGCCTGCGCAGTACGCACTACACACACACAAAAGTATCGGTGAGTGAGTGACAATAGGAGAGAGAGTGGAGTGGCCCCCGCTAGCTGCTACTAACATTATACACTCACCCAAATGCAAATCTCATTAAACATCACCTACGAATTTTGTCAATTTTTTTTTATATGTTCTTATTAGATCATGGGAATTCATGGCTGCTTTAACGTAAGTGATATATATGCTACGGAGTATTAAAGTTATATTATTCCTTGCTATTGATTTTAATGATTATCCTATAATATTTATGGCAAATTTCATATGCCTAATAAAGAAATAGGTAACATTTTTATAGATGATATAAAATTAATTTTATATTAGGGAAAATGACATTTTTTTCTTCTGTGTTATATACTTATAGTATTTTTTTCCTCCTGAATTATTTAAGTGGTAGTTTTTCCCGTAATATGTTAAATGGACATATTTACCTTTAAAATAAATATTTCATTTATTTTTCTTTTCCAACAAAATATAACCACGATTTGGTTCAAATCGAACAGATACTATAGCAACCAAACAGATAGATTATGATGACAATTTAAAATTGAAACCCAATATTTAGAGTTTATTAAAATCTTGAACCGAAAATGCCCGTTCATGTTCTGAAGTGAAAAATAAAATACATTAATTGCTAAATTTAGAATATTTTAAAAATAAAAAAATAAAATTTTAAAAGAAAGTTTGAACCAACAGTTCAAATTGGATCCGAAACCATGAACCGACGATTCAAAATAAAAACTAAATCGCGGTTATATATATACTTGTATGTGAGAATCAAAATAAATACGAAAAAAGAACATACACTATTTGCAAATATTATAATTCTAATTTTAATCTAATGCTAGTAGTTGTTCCGATTTGAACCTCCGGTTCACGGTTCAGGATCCATTTTTTTCAGTTCAAGATTTTAATAAACGAAAATCTAAATATTGGGTTCTGGTTCTTAATCATAACCCAAAAATTTCAATTTGGGGAGTCAATTCGAACCGAAACGTGGTCATCCCTACGTATAAGCAATAATTTGTTGAAGAAGAGAAATAAATAAAATATTTATTTTATGGGTATAAATGTCCATTTAATAAATCGGTGGGGGTGGGGGGGGGGGGGAACCACCACTTTTATAATAATTGAGGGGGCAAATATAGATGCATGAATAATTCAGGAAAAAAAAATGTTATAAGCATATAACTCAGGGAGAAAAAGTGTCATTCTTCCTTTATATTATTTTACCTTCTAATGTTTGCTTCTTAACAAAGTAATAAATAAATAAATAAAGACTATTATTCACTAGTTGTCATTAATTATTAATTATTTATCTCAAAGACCGCTATGAGTTAATTCCAAGAATGATCTCTTAACTATTATCATTTACCAATTTTTATCATTCGACTTTCAATTGGACCATAAGTGGTCCATTGACTATTGATCTTTACCAATTTTCGTCCACGACTTTCAATTTAACCATGAATGATCCATTGATTATTGATTTTGTTCAAATTTGATCTTCTAGTTAAATATCATTTTAATAAACATTAAATTTAAAGGTAATTATGTAAAAATTTTAGTTCTTCACAATGATGAACTCAATGTATTTGAACTCAATTTATCCATCTCAACAACATGCCAAGTTTTACATTATTATTATTAAATTTAATATTTATTAAATGGATATTTAACAGAATGATCAAATTTAGAACAAAATTAATAGTCAAGGGACCATTTATGTTCAAATTGAAAATCGAGAACGAAAATTGATAAAAATCAATAGTCAAGTAACTATTTATAATCTAATTGAAAATCGAATGATAAAAATTGGTAAATGTTAATAATCAAGAGACCATTCCTGGAATTAACTCAAAACTAATATATTAATTAATCAAATATAAAAAGAATCAATCAAATATTAAGCATAAGGAGATAGAAAAATATGAAGTTAAATCATGAAAATGTAGCATTACTCGTAAGTCATAAGCAATAGGGAAAATGGTCAAATAAGTCCTTGAACTTTGCACAAAAGTGCAAATAAACTTTTAAACTTTAAAAAAGTACAATTAAACACTTAAACTTGTCAAAAATTAGTTAAATAAGTCACGTTTACCGGTAACCTATTGGTTACCGGTAAGATTATCGTCATTGACATCCATTCACCTACAATGACCGCTGCTAAATCGTATTCACTATCGCCACCATTAAAAAAATCAACCATTTCTCGCCAAAGGAGACCAAATGGTTGACTTCTCCACTAAAAGGTGACCATTTGGTGTCCTTCTACAGTAGAGAATGCAACCAAATTTGGTGGCTTTCTCCCGGGGTTGAAGAAGGCGACCTAGTGTTGGTCGCCTTCTTCAAACACGATCGACGACCTTTCAACAGTCGCAGTCACCGGTGTTTGTTCATGGAATCTCATTGCAGGTTGGTTGGAGCGTTGTCGGAGTTGATCGGATGAGCGCTAGAACCCTAGTGACATGTTATTACAAGTCATCAACTGGTCTTTGGGCTTCAATGCACCGAAATAAAACGTTTAAGTGTTTAATTGTACCTTTTTAAGCCAAGCACATTGTGCTTAGTTGGCACATTTGTAACTCTCATTGAGGGAATGTCACAGGATATAATAGGATTGATAGTACTTTAAAAACCATTTTTAAAGAATATGATGTGATAGAGCCAATAGTTTGACAAAACAGTATTTGTCAAGGAGCTTGCAAGCTAATATAAGAAATTGTAAGAGTTAATTTCAATTTTTGTCCTAGATTTAAAAGTGGTAGTCTACTTTAAGTCATTATTTTTTACAAGAACGTTCACTTTTGGTCTTAGTATTATTGTGGCATGACCATTTTTTGTCCTTTATCAACAAAACAGTTTAAATATCATTAAGTGTGCGTTTAGAAACCCCGAAAATGATTTCGGAAAATCATTTTCCAGGTTTCCAGTGTTTAGCTAGAAGGGGGAAAATGGAAGTCAATGGAAAATAGGGGTGTGGCCAACGAAAAATAGAGGGGATTTTCCAGAAAATGACTTCCCCTTTTTTTTGGGAAGTCATTTTCTGTTTGCTGCAGTGGAGTAGCCAATCACCCCCCGTCGCCGCCACCACCACCAACCCCACCACCACTACCACACCAAACACACCAAGACAGTTTTCTAGAATGCAACCAAACACTGGAAAGGAAAACGTTTTCTGAAAAATGACTCATTTTCCAGAAAACATTTTCCAAAAGACATTTTCCTACTTTCCAAACACACCCGAAATAAAAGGGCATTTCGATCTTCAATTATGGATTTATTTTTTTTAAAAAAAAGATAAACATAAAAAAGTATAACGATTCAACCTACTTTGTATTTAAAAAAAAAATTGAAATGTTTTTGTATTTAACGACATTTCAACGATTTTGTTGATGGAGGACTAAAAATGGTCATGCCACAATAATACTAGGACCAAATGAGGATGTTCTAATAAAAAAGGACTAAAAGTGGACCTTCACATATAAATCTAGGACAAAAAAATTGAAATAACTCAAATTTTAATATCAATTCTCATCCATGTTAAGAGTCCACATTGATAAAATAAGAGAGAATTTATGGGTTTATAAGACCATGTGTTAGACAAGCTAATTTGTTGGATTCAACCTTTTAAAGTGGTTTGGCTCATGTGCATTATAGCCCAATTGAGTGACTAGCCCAATCTTAGATTACAACATGGTATCAAAGCCTGTTCGGTCCATCCATTTTGGGTTCACCAGTCATGGATATTGGTAGCGTCCAAGCTTTCGTAAGCCCGCGTGTTCGGTCCACTTTGGTGGCGTCCAGAGCTTCCGTTTTAGGGGGAGGGTCCGGTCCAATTTCAAGTGATCAACCGATTAGATTAAAAATGGTCTGATTGTCCACTTGAGGGGAAGTGTTAAGAGTCCCACATTGATAAAATAAGATAGAATATATGAGTATATAAGTCCTTGGGTTAGATTAACTAATTGGTTGGATTCAATCTTTTAGTGTGGTTTGACCCATGAAGAAAATATAATAAAATAAAAACTTTATGTCTGTATTCTTTGTAGTTGTGAAATTATACATCATGCTAAAATTATTTTACTTTAATTTTTTTTTCATGCCAAAAATATATTAAACCTTTAAATATTATGTTAGTTAAGTATTAAATGCTAAAAGAATTTACCTAATTGAACTTATTACTTACATTAATAAATTACTCACCAAACAAATTTACTTAATCAAATATTTATATTAAATCAAATATAGTTTACTATATAGAGTTAATGCCACATGGGGTCCTCCGAGTATAATGATTTTGCCACGTTTAGTCCTAAACTTTTAAATTGACCATTTTATATAATTACATACCAGCCAAGGTCCCTCGAGTATAGTGGTTCCGCCATCCTAAACTTTCAAATCAACCCTCCGTGATCTTTTAAGTTTAAAAAATGATCTGTCATAGTCTTGCCATTAGTATTTTCCATCTCAGTCGTGAAATGTGAAGGCATAAATGACCTTTCACATTTTTCTAACCCAAAATACTTCATTTCGCGACCCAAAACGCTGTCAACCATCAATTTGGTTTGCAATTGAAAACCAAACTCTTTATGTCAATATTAGTAAACTTAGAACATTAGATCCAAAACCCAGATAGATATGACTAACCGGAATGCGGTGGTGTCACGGTGTCGCCGCCCTCATTATGGCTATCTCTCGCCGGAATCCGAAATACCCTTTCTCTGTACTAACTATATATATATATATATATATATATATATATATATATATATATATATATATATACACACACACACACACACAAAGTGAATTAAAATTACCAAAAATTTTAATCAGTCAATTTGCATGCCCAACGTGGTAAAAGCTATAGAATGGAAGCTGCACTTCTGAAAATTATCACTGTTATGGTTGCAAAAGATGTCGAGCAAAGCGGTGCTTTTGCACTTGGGTCATAAACACCTTGATTGTTGGGAATTATGAAG